AGGGGCCTGGCGGGGGGCCGGCGGCCCCACCAGCCAGTCTGTTTTGCGGCGGTCCTTCCTATGAGTCAGCCGCAGCATGGAGCCCGTGTCCCGGCAGGTAGCCCCAAGATCTGTGACATCCTGTAACCTTCTGCAACGGGACCGAGCCAGGACAGATCCAGTCCAAAGACAGCGTTGCTGGCTGTGAGGGGGATCAAGCAGGTGGGCTGGGCCTGGCCTGCCAGCGCAACAGACCGTCGACTGCATGGACGCGGCCTCTCGCCGGAGGAGAGAGACCGAGAAACAAGTGCCACATTCCTTCCTCCCCCACGGGACCAAGAGACTTGCTCTGCCAACAGAGGGAGATCGGCTTCTGCAGTGCAGATGTTTGCCTCTGGAAGGGAATGCAGTACCTGCTTCCCGAGCACGCCGAAACGTGTTTGCTTATGGAGCTGGCCCTTGGGTGCGCGCGGGAGATGCGCCACCATGGCCGCACACCCTCTCCACTTATCCTGTGCCCTCAGCTCGCACCCTGCCCTGGGGTTGTGCAACACAAGGAAGCATGAGATGCTACCACCATGCCTTTAAGTCCCCATGCCGTAACCACTGCATGTCCTGATCTGGGTCAGGGCTCGCTCTGTGCCATGCTCGCAACTGAAGGGCGGATCTGCCTCCCAATACTTTGCAAGCCTTTAACAACTACCTTCCCGCTTCCTGAGTTTGATGCCTAACAGCCTCCCAAATGACGTGCTAACCCTCTTGCCCGCTTGGTGTTTTCCTTGCTGGGTTTAATGTGAGGAAAGCCACTGCCCTTAGTGGTGAGTTTTAATAAATCTTTTTACCTAGAACGCAGAGCCTGAGTCAGTCATTCTTGGGGTCTTGGTGACCTTGGGATCATTGCTTTATTTTTAGTAAACCTTGGGTGACGTGACCTAGTGCATGTGGAAGTGGAAACCACACGGGCTGGCTGACAGGGGTAGTGTGGGTATGTATTTAGCACCACTGCCCACACACATCAGTCCTAGCTCTTTTTTCACTCCCTGTGTCATTAAAGGTAGGACTTGTCACAAGATGTGGGGGGAAGCTGAGGGTTCAGCCACTTTCACAAAGGGGTTGGAAACAGGCTTGGAGGAAAGAGGCATCAGTCACTATTGAGTGTAGGAGTGAGGGGCACGGCCTCCGAGTCAGAGCTTCCTAGACCTTTAAATGCTGGAGGCTGTGCAGAAGAGAGGAGCAGTGCAAAACGCGGCTCAGATCCAGCTCGCTCTCCCTTCCAGCCACTGTGTGATGCAGGTACAGTTTTTCGGGGGGTTTGGTACTCGGAGTATAGTCCCTGAATCGGTACAAGGTGTAACCTTGGCGCTTCAAGGCACAGACCATGTCCATGGAAGTCATGCTTCTGAGCTTGGTGGAGGTTAGAGGTGAACCGATACATTGGTCCGATATCAGATCGGCACTGATATAAAGAAAATTATCTGTATCGGACATTGGCCTGATAATTTGGCTGATAAATGGCAGCACGTAAGTGGCCAGGAGTGCAGCCCAGCAGCTTGGAGAGCTGCACGCAGCTGGTAAGTGGTGCGGTGGAAGGGGAGGGGGAAATGAAGGGGGGCGGCACCCGCTGCTGCATGCTGCTCATCCAGGAGAGCTGGGGGGGCATGTGCCCCCGGATCTGCCTGGGGCGGGCACTGCATGGGGCTCTTCCCAATGGGCTGGGCCAGGCTGCGCTCAGGGAGGGTGGTGGCGGTGCTGGGAAGAGGAATTGGGGGGGCTATGGCGAATTTTGGGGTGGCTGCAGCCCCCCCTGTGGGCCCCTCCCAGCCCCACTACCCCCCACCCCAAGCACAGCCCAGCCCCCACTGGGAAGAACCTGACACAGCCCCAGCCGGCAGCGGCAGGTGCTCCCCCCCCAGCA